CGACAAACTCACCAAGCTCACCCGATTGAGTTGTGGCTTTCATGTTATGGTTCCGGAAGGTGATTTTAACGCGCACGTTGGAAAACTGAGCGCAACCGTCTAAGAGGCACTTTCTTTTCCTGCCCAGCGAACAGACAACGGTGGTCGAAAACTTCAGTTCTGCACAGATAACCGGCTCTTCTTATCTAGCACCAATTTTCGACACAGTTGCTGTTGGTATGGCCCAGTTTAGAACTGCAGATCCCATTGAACCACCTGCGTTGAGTCGGATCATGCATTAGTTCTGATGCACTTCGTTATTCGACTAATCGGTCATCGTCCAAAATCGCTTCCTTAATTAGCTCATCATCGTCTGCGGTATTCGACCATCGATGCATTTGAAGCACTACTCGTGTCTGGTGGGAACATATGGAGCAAGTCAGTACAAGGGTCTTCGTCATGTTTTGGGTGCTAACAGCCGTTCTGAAAGAGCAAATCATTGCATACTGCATTCGATAACCGGTCACGTTTTGTGTATGCCTTCCTGTGGTTTACCCCTACGTGCTGGCCAGGGCTGCAAGAAACTTCGCGGCGGTCAGACCATGAATTACTGTAGGGGTGAGAACACTGCACTGCCCTGGGTTTTTTGCACTCCGCCTTCCAGGTTGATGCCCCATGACGAGGAGCGTGGCTTTTTTATTACACACCCAAGTGTGATGAACAGCAGACGGGGCGAACTCCATAGTCACGAGAACCTGCTGTCCAGTGGTGGAAACCGGTAATCAAAACCCTGGGACTTGTGGTGGCAAACCACGTGAGGCCCCGCTAGGCTAGGCGTGGTATTCGACCGGACGACAGCAAAGCTGGGTATTTGGGCTCGAACCTTGTACCGTAGGGTCCATATATACATATATATGATTTCCATTGAATAGCTCACATTGGGAGTTCAAGTATAAGAATGACCAGAGAGAAGATTCCCGGATACGCGTATCTCACGAGCGGCAAGGACCGCGAAATCAGTCGTATGCTACAGCGAAATTTTGTCCAGTTACTCATGTACTACTCATTATATGAAATATATATCGTGACAAAGGCTTAGGGATTCCTAGATTTTGACAGTATCTCCGTATAGGGGTGAAGAACAATAATGCACTTGGTGTATTAGCACAGCAGTTTGATAAAAGGGCTAGACAAAAAACTTCTATGGCATAGCTCTGATTTTTTGTTAAATATGACTGAAAGTAAAGCTAAGATAAAGGTGCTGTGCCCCAAACCGGAGTTTATTCTACATGAAATAAGCGCTGCAAATGGAGCCTTAGGTCTACTCTGTAACAGATACCAAAATTTATGCAGCATTCAAAATTCAGGAAAGTGTGACGGAAAGAGAATGAATTAATCAGTGACTTACCCACACAGCTGTCGAAGCTAGTGAGAAGACAATCGCAGCCCGAGCATGGTTCTCCTGCCAACTCTCCACCTTTTCTTTTGCAAGCCAGTCATCATGGGTGTTCGTCCACTTGTTCGTTAGTAGACAAAAACCCACAAACCACAGAAACGCCCATAGGCCTGGACAAGGTTTGAGAGAATTAAACAATTAGGCATTTAAAGAACATCGTCCCATAAACAGGATAATTGAGTAAAACTATCCAGATCGTAAATTTTTAGTGCTTAATAGATTTATAATGTTCTTACTTGTGTTTACCCTTTCACTCACTGTTCGAAATGCGGAACAGGTAAATGGAAGAAGCATTTATCGACCAAAATACTGAATTGAACACCTTTTGTACATGAACCAACAACGATTATAAAAGGCATCCTTCAAACCCAGTGTAGTAAACTATTATCAAGCACATTCATAAAGTATATATTTACACACTAGATTGAAAACACTGCTGAATTTGAAATTCAACTGGGGTTCATTCGGACTTCTTTCCGGCGAAACTGCACCAATTGGCAAAGCGTGATCACAAAACGTAACCCGCTTAGCGAACCGCGTGTGTATCTGGCGCAGAGTCGACTGAGCGCTGATCAAGAAAGCCACAGTTATTATTTTTCACTGTGGAGTTAACGGAATATGAGAAAGCGCACTTGCTATGACGGAATCGGTCAGATGACTCGGGGAAATATCTTGAAAATTCAAGCGTCTCAATTCACTAAGGCGGTCTGCTCATCATCGTAGAGGAAATACAGTAAAGCAGACTTCAATGACCACTGCCAAACTCAATGCATACAAGCTAAGGCGGAAGTTGGTCACAGACTGGGAATATTTTCGAGGTGGGTAGAAAATGAACCCTTATGGTCAACACACAGAGTACGCAGTTAAACTGCAGATGCACAGTTTTTCAAGCAATCTGATCTGACAGGCAGTGATAACAAGAAAGTTACTTCTGTCAATTAGTTACCATATCCTTTAGTGTCTTCAACTAACCAGTAACAGAACCCCTTTGGACCCGTCTGGGAGACGGAAGACACCTACCCTATGCAATCGCTGTTTCTCTAGACATCGCCTCCACATCATCCGTTGATCTCTGTGGTTTTCTCCAGCCTGTAGCGGAAACCGTAAATAAGGAGGGCTGTGATAGGTGATCGTTAGAGGTACGCAAAACGTGTCCTAACCAGTGGAGCCCATTGAGCTGAGTTCGATAACATACCGAATTCTTTCACGCCACATTCAGGAATACACGACGACTTACACCTAGGTTGTACTGTATTGTATCGATGTTTTAGTGAGCAATAAACAAGCTTTCAGCCAACCCCATCACTATATCTAAAATGGGACAGATCATACAGGCACCAATTACCGGAAACCTCTAGGAGATCAATGTCTTCTGTCCGCATATTCAATGTTTTACAACCGTAAAGCAGAAATAACCGAACGGTGACGCAGTGTACACGACTTAAAAAGTCGTGTACACTGCGTCACCGAGAAATTTCACGTCGTCGCCACAGGCGCTGGAATCTTGGGAATGCACGCAATTATCAACTTTACTGCACTACCATCGTACGGCACAACTGCTCAAGTCGATTTTAGCTAATTACGGATCAACTAGTTTAGAACAGGACCAGCTGACACCCAGTCTTGAACCATAAAGTCTGAAGAAGTCATTTTCTACCTTCTAGCGGGATGAATGGAAATCATGTAAGTGGACGTAAAGAAACCCAAATGTTATAATGGAAGCACACTACAGTTACAATTGCTAAATTAGTCTGGTTTGGGATGCACATGACACTGCTGGGTCCGTATTTCTTTGATCGCACAAATGATTGAACAAATAACTCGTAGTTGCTTTCTACGTCGGTTATCCAATATACTCAATCACAGGATCTAGAGAGAAGACGGGATTTATTTCCAGCAGAATGGTGCGGCTGACCAGTATTCGAATGCAATGAGAACTAGGAGTGACATTTCCAAAAACTGAATGGGTAGGGCAATACCTGCATTCAGGCCGACAAGACTGTTAGACTGAAACCCATTGTTTTTTCTGAGTCGACTATTTACTTATTATTTATATTCCACGATCACATTCATTAATTTGTTTTATGCACTTGCTAAAGCCACCTCAGTGACCAAGCTAGATTCTGTATTCCTTTTTCGATAAACGAACAGATTTCATGATTCGTTTCTTTTCCTTTCAAGATTCAATCAACCTAGAGTCTGCCATTTGATTTATCCGTGGTTTACCATAATAAAGCTGGTGTATTAATGAGAAAGCCTAGAATTTTTTGTCCGAGTGCGTAAAAAGCTCGTTAGCATAGATATCACTAACGCCATGGGACCATGAAAGATTGTATGAAAGGGTCAAATCGAGGTTGGCTTCCGTCATAACATGCGCGTTTCTTTGTGTTCCTTGAACGATCGGCGAGATGTCAACCAAACGGTCGACTCTCCGCGCCGGATTCATACACGGTTCCCTAAGGGGGTTGCGAGCTTTGACCACGCTTTGCCACTTGGCGCAGTTTCGCCGGAAATGCGAATGAACCCCAGTTGAAATTCAAATCCAGCAGTTCCCAATCTGGTGAATATATATATATATCAAGTCTTGAACGAACGAAAACTATGTCGATCGAAGACTGGTTGAAGGTGAATAGTTGATAATCCTGATGCAGATGGCAAGATAGATGGACGTTTACAATCAAAAAGTAGTCGATTTCGTGGAATGAGCCGAAGAAGTCTACGTAGGCACGATAACAATGGGTCATGCATCGGGGATTAAAGGCACGAGAATTTTGCGGGCTCCTAAAATTCAAGTGCAACGTTTTACGAACTCCTTGACCTAATTATCAAGCGTCCACCGGTGGACAAAGCTTAGAACAACAGCTTTCATATGATCCATATGGTATCCACTGTAGAACGGTTAGATAACTGCCGTGTGTAATGATCATAGAACGACTGCCTCCCGTAATAAAACATGTCAATAATAGATAGGATGTCAGATCACCGGACCAAATGGACCAGGTGAACAATGGATGACTCCCGAGGCGGTAGGATTTTCGACAATGTCACTGCTTCCAACCGAATGATGAACTCTGCCGTAACTGTCCTTTGGATGTTTGAGGATGTGTATGGCACAACACAAATCGAGTGGATAAATCCTATCAGACCTCAATTTCTTGGTGAATAAAGACAATGACGGTTTTGCCATTTGTTTGAGTATTTCAGCTTACTGGTTATGATACTAAGTGTTCCCGCTTAAGGTCTTCTGTGTGGCAATGGTGACCCATTGTTGAAGGAGGTTGACTGAAGCAAGTGGACAAGATAACGGTGGATGAAAGCGGTTTGTGATTGGTTAAGCGTAAACGCAAATGTAAACATTTTTGGTCTCAATACATCGCCCGTGTTCATGAAGGATCAATCGTATACTGCCAGAGTTCTGTCGATCTTATCAATTGAGGTAGAGAGATAACGAAAGCCTATAAAAACGAAATGTAGACTATTGACGTTAAAATACCATTAACCCAGCAGTAATGCACAAGTCTAATCAGAAACCCGAACGAGCAATATCCAAATGAGGCGAACGGCATTAGACAGTTGAGGTTCCTTGCTGAAATGCTCGACCTGAGAAGAGTGCAATGGTTAGACAGGTTACGAACGTCATCGGGTCGGTTTCCTTAGTATATGAAGTTTGCGGAGATGGATGAACGTTGACGGATTAATAATAGTCGGACCACGACCAAATGGGAAATAATGTAACACTGACCTAGGGATTCGGTAGTATTGAGCTTCTCATCACACAACTTGGTGTGATGAGCAATAAGAGTGATAAAAACCTTATTCGTAGTGGCCTACTGATTAGTCATGGGAGCCGATTACTCAAGTCCACGGAATTGTAGTGGTCAACGACACGATCTCGATAGGACGAAGGTCACGCTCATCCAGGGGAAATGGAAGCTGATAACGAAGGCACAGTTTCAATCGTACATTTAAACTGCCCGTAAATGACACCGATCCAAACCGCACGACTACTACCATTCGACAGAGCAGTTTTTCATGTAGGCAACAAAGTCTAAGAATACAACGAGAGCAGCCCGTAATGCATGTTTTTGTGGTTGACCTGGACGATAGTTTACAGTAAACTCGAAAGCGGCTGTGGCAACTTAAATACTATTTGTTTTCTTGAGTATGAAAAGCGAAAAGATGATAAATTGAGAAGTCAGTTTTCAGTTAGATACATTAAAAATAAATAGTTGTTAGTTTATCGCTATGATCTATGTAAAGTTCCGTCGATCGTATTCATTAAAATTACTAGAAGCGAAGCGAAAAAAACAAAGCAATAGTGCACTAAACAAACCATGAGCCCAGGGCTCAGACAAAAACACCAACAGTGAGTAGTTTGATTCGGTCTCAGGGATCAGAAGTGATTACACAAGTGTGTATAATATAAGACCGCATTCAAAGGTATCTGCATTAGACTATTTATAAGTTGCAAAACAACCAAAGGGAGAATAGGACTCATTAATTGGTGACACAACACCGACTGAGGGTACCACCATCAGCAGCAAGAACACAACAATGACGGTGGTGACGACAACGAGGAAGCGGATACAACGTGTTGGGACGGCACACGATTCCGTATAAACTTTTGATCCAGTTTACCTGAGCACCCCAAATCACCAATCACAATGTACCGCCGTTTCTTCATGTTTGAAATAGAATTAAACATCAAATCAGCGACAATGAATCCGATGGCCAGTAGGAATGCAAACACGCCTATGGCCACAGCATAGCTGCAGGCCACCGCTTCTCCATTGAAAATACATTTTTGATGGTGTGCATGATGTAACGTGTGGCATCCGGAGGAGACGCAACCGAACACGATTATTGCAAACAACTAGTTGGTTGACAAAGAGCCGCAGGTAAATAAGAAAGGTTGCAATAAGACAATTAAAATTATCAACGGGGACAGTGATCAATAGATTGCAATATATGTCTATTTCGTTCACTGAATGACGTTATATTTGAGCTGAAATGGGAAAAGAATTTGGGAAGCCCCAGCGCAGTAGCATGCATAACGCGGGATATACTGATGAGAGGGAATTGAGGTTTGGTCCTGATTTCAACCTCAAGTAGAACGACTGTGCGATTGTGCACTTATTCATATTTTGCCTGATCATCTGATTACTTGACTGTCTTCGTTGGTACGGTGAAACACAAATAAATTGTTATCCCATTTATTTGTAATTTTCCACTTTAACAGTTCCCTCTTTTTTTACTACGTTCTGCATACGAAACTCCTCCCGTTATTGTTATTGTCGTTGTGGCATTTAGTTTTCAGGAGACTGTGGTGTGATATCACATTTCAGGTACACATGGACATAGCTAATGCATGCTGCAGAACTAAAAGCTTCCATGAAATATCAGACCATCGATAACCTATGCGTTTTTAAAGGTTGTTAGGCTGGTAGCCAACAACACCTGGACTGTACCAGCGTTACAGTTCTTGAAAATGCATCAAATGACTGACTTGATATATCTTTCTAGAGGCAGTGCGATATGCAGTATGAATAAAGATGATCACACTCGGAGAAATTCAGATTCTTTGAGGCTAATATCCGTTAGGATAGCTGCTGATCACCTACCGCCTTTTGTTTGGCGAAGCAATGCCTCAATTTTCGTCGTCGGCCCTCCATATGACGAAGCAGTCCACAACGTGAAACCGCTGTTGGTAGCGCCTAGTGCCTCAAATTGTGGACTTGTATGACATTATCATACTTCAAAATAAATCAAAAGCAGAGAGAAAAAGCTATACGTGGCCTTGAAGCCACATGGAGGACCTGCTCTTACTGACATAATGATAACCACTCATCACTCGAACTTTGGGTTACCTTCAATGAGACGCGGACAACTTGATTGACAATGTACTCCAGCTATTCTATTCTTACATAGCTTTCAAAAGTATGTAATTCACAAACAAGTGTAGCTGGTAGGCAGTCCCGCTGTCACTCGACTCACTACCACGCTCAACCTATTGAGTCCGTCTGTGGTTTGTCACTGCAGGTTTCAGAGTTGGGTTGGCGGCCTCATACCAGCAATCAACAATACAACTCACATAAATCACAGGATGCGCACTCCACTAACAGCACTCTACTGTCCTCACTAACATCCGTAGTGAAAATCAAAATGTTAACTCTATAAACTAATTCCCGTAATTTCATTTATCCTTCATTCTATCGCTTCTTCCCGAATTCTGCACCTAGATTTCTCGTAACGTGAACTCCTTATGTGGGTAAAAGTTCGATTTTCTTCTTTCATAAACTATTTTTGTACCATTCACCGCTCCCTGAACAGTAGCAGGCCTTCTAATTTTGATATTCCATCTTCCAACATTGTGACACTGATGGCAGCAGATCCTAAAAGTCAAATTACCATTGTCGGAGATTTCGATGTTCACAAAAAGAAATGATTGAAACACTCTTCAAACAGCTCGTTCGTGGGACGCGAACCCAAGAATTTTGCTATGGTCAACAACTTCAGGCAACTAGTTGACCTCCCCCCGCGCATCCTTGATCGTGTTGGTGACCGCGCCCACACCCTTGACCTCATTCTCACATCAAGCTCCCGTTGTTAATTCAACATCATTTCTTTTTCTTCATTAGGCTCACTCATTTCTCTTACCCCAGATCACCACCTAACTCCACCTTGAGGTGTTACGATTCAGCCAACTGGAACAGTTCTCGTCAATTTCTGACCTGTTATCCTTGAAAAGATAGTTATTTTAAATCTGAAGTTTCTACTTCTGTTTCAATCTTCACAGAGATCATTCTTCAGGGTATACTCAAACTCAACACATTACGAACCACGATCCCGAGTAGTTCATATGCTACAAAGCTGCACGCTTGGCTTCGTTTGCCTCAGGTAACCGAAAATTCTGGTTCCAAATAATGTTTATCCTTTCAACTTTCCTCCTATTAGCAATTCCTCTGGTGCTCGTGTTTGCGAACCCCACGAAAAAGAGGTCTTCGCCTCACTGTTTACTTCCAGCTTCACCTTATCTACTGACTCTACTGTTTAACTATCCTCCCATACATCCAGTGACTCCTTCCTACCTACCATAACAACCAGAAACGTCCGCCAAACCCTTTTTGGGTTGGATGTTTGTAAGCCATTCAATCCAGACAGCATTCCACCTATCGTCCTAAACGTTTGTGCCCCGGAATTAGCTCCTGTTCTACGCCGCCTCTCCTGTTCTTCACCTAATATGAAGAAATGTTCTTATTTTTTATTCCAAAGCGTGGTGATTCTTCTGACTCCAACAACTATCATCCCATCACTCTCACTTTCGTTGGTTCAGGTGTTTGAAAACCATCACCTTCGAACGGGCCGGTTCGTTGAATGGCGATCAATGTGGATTTTACCCTCGTCGACCTGCTGCTTATATACCTGTCCTCGATAACCACAGAGAAACTCACATGGTCCCGCTCGACATTTCAAAGGCCTCCGACGGCCTTTTGTACAAAACCGCTCATCCCATCCACTGCTTTAACGACCACATCACTCCTCATTATTCGCTTTCTTACCCCACAATATCAGTCACATTCGTAAAGCGATGAGTACTTCTGCCTCCGATTTCGGACGTTGTTTAATACTTCCCTATGATAATTTTCTGTCCATCTCGTTCTTGTGCATTGCGGTCACCCTCATCAGGTTTCTGTCCCCAGATGTCGAACCTCTTAGTCGTTTTATTGCCTTAGAACAGAGAAAACATGGTAGCCTTCCCATCTTCGTGTTCCCAAGCACATACACTGTTAGAAAACAGGACTCACGAATTGATTCTCACTTTGCTGTTCCCCCCGTCTAACTTACCCCTAACAGTATCCCGTTGATCATGGGGTTTACCTATTGCTTTCGAAGTCACTGTATACGGTAAAGAAATGGATTATTTATACAGATATTATTAAACACCTCAGAATAATTACTAATGTTGAACCGCCAGCACTTTTTGTCGAAAAATTTGAAATCTTCCCCGGATACTGTATGCTTCGTCAAAGACCACATCACACTTTTGTAAGTGGGATAACGATGAGATTGGAAAACGTTGTACCTGTTAATGCGACCATTAAGCACTTACCACGGCCACTATCCTAAGGATGGCGATAGGCTGTTTTACGTAATCCATCACACCGGACGCACCGCCGGACTTAGCCGCAGCGAAAATGCGTGATGGATCCATCCTCGTAGTGAAAGCGGTGGTATCCTACAAAATGATAGTAAAAATTGGAGGTTTGTCAAAACACGCGACACGGACAACCGGGAAAGAACAAAGAATCAATAACCAGAACAAAAGAACACTTGCATATGAAATTAACACAACCTAAACCTACCAAACAGAATTTCGGAAATACCGCCAGGCAGGAAACTGATGGAGCACGCCTTGGTTGAAAAAGTAAAACGCAGGTCAGTCAGGTCAGGTCAGGTCAGGTCAGGTTGCACAGGACTGGTAATGGCCACGGCCAATCGATCGTCCAGAGTTCTTCCGGCAGTATGCTCACAAAGTGCGCACCTACCACTGCGAATTGCCT